AAGATTTGGAGAGGGAAAAGACAAGATTTTATTATTCAAATCTATCCCAGTTTATAGATCTATACAAGATATCTTAATGAAGAAACAAATAATTATAGAATCATGCATAATTGCTCTAATATAATCCCAATCTAGGTGAGCCTCCCATGGATCCCCATGCTAGCCGTGGGATCAAAATGCCAATGTATAGTTAGGATTTAACAATTATTTTTCAATTATTCTTAATATTCTGCTTATTTAATTATCATACACTATGTTTATAATATGAATATTATAATGTCATTTCAACCCATATTCATGTCCTATATTTTTAATAATTGATGTGTGTTGTGTTCATGTCACCATATTAGTGTCTGTGCATCATAGGGTGCAAGTTATGAGGGAACAAAGAATTTTTACCATTCCAAAAAGATAATCTAACACATTCTTGCACTCACGCAAATGTGCACAAGCTAACACACTCATGCCCTTATAATGTCAAAAAAATAATTATACTATTGTATATAATATATGTTATATACATTATTATACTATATGTATTAAAGAAGTATGTTTCTTATTTATTATTATATAATCTATTTATAATATACTATTTATAGTACAAAGCAATAAATAATGCATTTGATAGTAATACTATGCCTACAATTAAGACGTATATTATAATAATTTACAATAAATTATAACATTTGTTCCTTGGGATGAGTCTTCATGCTTTGGAATGGTGAGTGGCATGTCAGGTAAGAATGTCACACTTAGTAACTTACTAAAGTCTCATTGGAGAACATGAGCTGGAAGCCAAATTTTTAGAAACTTTGAAGGATCACCCAAATAAAAGTTTTTATTATAACAATATTGACTTTTTTTCTCAACAAAAAAACAAAGTTTATTCTTGCCATTACAAGCCAAAATTCTAGATGGGCTTCTGTAACCTTGAAGATGGAATAAAAAAAAATTGGTGCAAGTGAAAATAAATCAGAAGAGAAACTCATATGTGAATCTAACTTTGGATTTCTAATTAATAGTTCTACTGAGCAACTAACCTTATACCCTAAAATGGTTTATACTAAAGGACCCGACTGAATCCTAGTTGGCAAACCTAACCTAACCTAACCTAAGTTAGCTTAACCTAAGAGCTTGGCTCAATTGATCCAAATGAGCGAATTGAGTTAAATCACAAACTGATTTGTTTTAGGACCTAAAATGACTAATAAGCCTTCAAGATGAGTAGTACCTTGGCCTCTAGCATGTAATTAGGCACTAGACATTCACTACAATAAGATACAGCATTTATACATAAGAGTTTCAGTGAGAATGAAAACATCTTCACATTTGCAGATATTCATGAAATTGTGAAAAAAGTTTTCATCATTGCCTACATATTTGAAAAAAGTTTTCATCCTTGCCTACATATTTACCCAAGTAAAAAAACATGATATATTTTTATTATGGCGCATGTACATCATAAATCCCCCATCATCTCAACATCCAATTGTATTAATGAATCTATTACCATTTCTAAGGATCTCAGAAGATTAAAGTCCAAGAATGCATCCACTCCACTGGCAGGCATATATCCTTACCCAAAAACTCTCCGTTCCTACATTGTCTTCCAAGCTTCAATCCCTATTCTTTTCGGGCATTGGTAATAAATTAGTTATCCAGAAAGCTTTGATGGGTATCTTTTTCTTCTAACAGCCAGGGTAAAATTAGAAAGGCCTCTTTGCTACCCTAACTTCCTTCAGATAAGAGTTGCCTTGTTATAGTCTAGTAAGGGTGATATTGCAGTACATCTTCAAGCAATCATAAACAGTTTGTCTTCAATAATCTCAGGAAGGAAGAAAATTATGATGAAAGAGAGAGACCAGAATAATGAGGGTATTATATCCATCTTTAAAATATTTTGAAAGTAGAGAAAAACTATTGAAATTTGGCTTAGAAACCATAATTAATCAATATTAGGAATGCATGTCTCGGGTTGAAACCAGAGTTGGTGAAATGGGATTCAATGGATCACAAAATGATGACATGTTTTGCAAGGGAATTTAGATTTTACAAGTTATGCAACTTAAAAAAAATAATATCAATTGCCTTTGTGAAGAAGCACAAGCATTGAGATCTCCTAGAAATCTTATTAAATGGGTTGGTTTCACATATCTGGTCCAATAAATTTCAGAGACAATTTGAATTTCAGCTAGTAGGTTTCTATTTCAATCTTTTCTTTAGGTTGCATAACATTAAACTTTCCAAAGAAAAGTTATAATTATATGCATTTATTTTATTCGGTATTTGTGTATTGAAGAATGAAAAATATTTGGGTTTCCTGCACAGAAACTAGTGAATAGCAAAGAAATCATTAGGAGCTCAAGGCGGGTAAAGACTTCTGTGGTAGAATTAGGAAAGCAATTCAGCGAAGGGAGTGGGATCCCACATGAACTATTGAGAGCCTCCTCCATTATTTTAAACATACTCGATGGTAAAACCCATTGTTTTGAAAATCGGACCCTGACCAATCCGATTCAGCTTAAAAATTGGATTCGCATCAAACCGGACTGAACTAGCAAAAATCGGTGGTTCAACTGCTCAAGAAATTCGGGCAAATTGGCCCCCAATGGTGAACAGTTAAACCGATCCGAGTTGGAGAACCTGCCAATTCTATAATTTTTTTTTAATTAAATCATAAATAATATATTTTAGTTTATTAAAATACTTTAAATTTTTAAATAATTTTATTATGTATAGAGAATAATTACACCATACATAATATATGCATGTCATCGTAGAGCTGTCAATTTTTGACACGAACCGAAACACGACCCGGAAAAATCCGGGTTCGGGTCGACCCGGTTATCAAACGGGTCGGGTTCGGGTTCGAGTTCGAATATCTGACACGATTTGAGTTCCGGGTCGGGTTCGGGTTGACCCGAAAACCCGATAATGACCCGAAATTGACCCAGAAATGCTTCTGCCAATTTCTGCTGCCCGACGTGCCCGCCCTGCCTGCGAAATGTCCCGCGCGTGCTGCGTACGCGTCCACGCCGTCTAGTCGCGTCGACTCTGCCCGCGAAATGACCCGCGGTCCGCGTGTCCAGTCGCGTCGACTCCGTCGAGTCGCCAGTTCGCCTCCTTCGAGGTTGTCGACGTGCTGTCGCTGCGCTGTTGCTGCCACACCGCCGGTCTGCCGCGCTGTTGCTGCAGCACCGCCGGTCTGCCGCGCTGTTGCTGCCGCACCGCCGCCGCTGCTGTTGCCAGTCATTTTCTCGCCGCCGCCGCTTCAGCCAAACACGCAAATCGTGTCGGGTCGGGTCGGTTTTAAATATTATATTAAATATTATTTTTATTATAAATTTGTTATAATGTAAATTATAAGAATCTCATTTATTATCACCATAATTAAATATAAAAGTTAATTATAATTAAATTATTAGATAAAATAATATAATTAAAATATATATTTAATAATTTAATTATAGTATATAATTATATTCATTATTTCAATTTAATTAAATTATTTAATAATTTAATTATATTGAGAGAAAATATGTGATAATTTGTTGAAAAGTACAAAAATTAAATTTTTAGAATTATGAGGTTTAAGATTAAATTGTTATAATTATTATATTAATTTTATTAGTTTTTAATAACACTATTATTTATTATGTCATCTAGTTCGATCGGTCAAACCATGAACCTCTTCCTCCGGTTTGTTGTACGGTCCAGTTTTCACCATGGTAAAACCAGTCTTACTGCTTTTCACTAAAAGGGTCCCTCATATTCCAACAGTAAGAGGCCTTACTAAGAGAAATATATCTCATAGGTTCTTTTCTTCTATATATATCTCATAGTCTTTCTATTAAAACCTCACTATGAATTCTATAGCTAAGTGGGCATAGATTGGGACCCATGTAAATTAATAGTGAGGAGTGCTTGAGTTTGGAGTAGAAATGACTCCATGATGGCCTGTTCCATGAGTTTGAAGTTAAAAAGAAAGGGTATACTTACTTGAGCAGTTTCTCTAGTCCCCCTATATGTGTAATAGGGGAGTTCAAAGTTAGGGAGTCAAGCAATATTGACTCTCTCCAAACTTCAACTCTAAGATCACCTCCAAACCGAAAAACACATTTTCCCCTCCAAAATACAGTAATATCATAAATGCATTAATTCATCTCCAACCGAACTCTATTTCTTAACACAAAAAAGAAAACTCCGTGTATATTCTTTCTCAACCACACACACACAAGCCTTTTCCCCTCCGCTTTATCTGTTTCCGCAAAAAATGTGTTTGTGAACAGTGTGACACCTCTCACTATTCATGAACAAGAGAATGGCTTGCCTATTGCGTTTGATTGGAGAAGTTCGTGGGCGCCAAATAGGAGTATGGAGTTCGGTTGGAGATGGCCTAACTGGGCCAAAAGTCCATTTAAGAGGATTAAATCAACCAATCTTCTTCTATCTCCAAGCAGAATACCCGCACTCATGGCATAAAAGTATAATGAAGATCAAAGAAAACTAATTAGATATAATTAGTCAGAAATACGTGGTTATTGAAATCAAAGACCAACACGTTGATATTATGAAGAACGTCCACTCCAACTAGAACAGCAGATAAAATTAACCAAAAAAAATCGGAAAGGAGAAGGTAGACCTCAGCTAACAAGAATATAACTTGATCAAAAGAATTTGCTAAGAATATAAAACCTTTACAGCACTCAAGTAACAAATGAAAAAGTGCAAATAGATGTGATAAGGGCAAAAATCTACATAAACCAAGTCCAAACCAGTAAATTGATCTTCATCCCTACGAAAAACGAAATAATCCTGGCTACCTAAGTCACATGTTAAATTAGACTCCACCGAGTGAATCCTCTCTCCGAAACTCATCAGATTCATCCATTATGCAACCCCTCTTCTTTTGCCAATTCTCCAAACCAATCAACAGAAAATCCCTGACAAAAAATAAGCAGGCCAAAAGCCAAAAATCAAAAAGTGGATAATCTTCTCACCGACGACGCTGGATCCACCAGATCCTCCGAGAGTCATGGACGATCTCCTTGCCCTAGACTCGAAGCTGCTTCTTCTTCTCCTCCTCCTCCTCCTCCTACGTTGCCGTCCGTGAAGCTAAATCGATGCGCCGACCTTATTCTTAATGGGGGAATCAACCTAAAGCAAGAAAGAGAAAGATATGCGAAATGGAGACGGAGCAGTGGCGCAGAACCGTGACGATGGCCACATCGAAAGTCGGAGATCCACCGTTGGTTATGGGCGTGACATGTGAGATCGCGTGAAAAGGAAGCTGCTTAGGGCCCAGGGCGGCCTGGCGGGTCGATTTTGATGCCCGTTTCAGGAGAAATAATTCAGTGCCGAGTTCGAAAGTAGTTCTGCATTGGGCTCTTTTATATATATATATATATATATATACTAGTTTTATTACAAGTGCATTAAATACACCTGAAAAAAAAAAATTATATTTAAATTATATTATCAATGGAAAATCAGTTTATCCAAAATTTCTCACAAGGAACTATCATTTATCCAAGTCTAAGAGAAGATTTTCATATTCCCTTGCTTAAGAGTGATGCAAGCTATAATAAAGGTTCCAATATGTTTAACGCCTTCTCAAAATGTAAATTGTATATTACCATGCTTCCAAATAAAAATATAAGTCATATATAACAATATTTTAGCAATGAGGTCCCATACATAGAGTTCAATAAACTTTCAATCTTTCAAGTGAGGCTAAGGTGAGTAGGAGAAAAATAATCCAACCTCTTGTACGAAATGCTTCAGTGACATTACTTCTAATGCTTTCCGAAATACAAATTAAAACAATGCAAATTGTGTTGTAAGAAGAAATTGCTTGTTATTCTATAGCTTGGTGAATTCATCAAATGAACAAAAGAGATGTCAATTGAATAATGAGATAACATAATAAAAATTCCATAAATATTTGTAGACCTTCGTTGGATTTAGTAGAAGCATAAGCCTTTGGCTATCGCCTAGTATTTAATTGAAGAATGCAAGCAAAATAGATCCACCAACGGGCCTACGCGTTAATTCATAAAAAAATTAGTCTTTAAAGGGATCAAATGTCCGCTAATGCTCAAAAAACTACAATTACAAATCAAAAGAAATCTAAAGAGTTAATGATCCTAGCTACAATACATGAAAAAGAGGAAAGAAATTATCATAATTGAGATTATAATAATAAATATTATATAACATTTTATGATAAATTTTTTTGCCCATAATAAACTTTTATAACCTCAAACTAATTAATTAATAAAAAGTGCAGATTACTTACCTTTATTCAAAAGTAAATGCAAATAAACAATATTAAAATTCACTATTAATAAATAATATGTGTTCGAAAGTGATTAAAATAAAATAATAAAATTACAATTTTAATATATATTAATGATATTAAAAAAATCAGTATTCTAAATTAATAACATATATTTCATAAGGTTGACGATTTAAAATAATTACATCAATATGAAAAAATATCATGCAAAATTCAATAAATTCTATCTACATAATTAATTACAAAATATACATGCAGTCAAATAACTTTATGTATACTTGTCCATAAAATAATGATAGGTTTTTTGGCCAATTGAAATAATAGATATTGAAAATAAATTAGTTTATTTGATATTAACTGAAAAAAATACATTAACAAATATGAACAATGATTTTCAAATATGAATTATTTAAACATATAAATAAATTATGTGTTAGAAAGAAAATAAAATAGCATGATATAATTACAAATCAAATATACTAAAAATTAATTTTCTTAATTTAAGTAATTTCAAGAATATCTATAGAATTTTAAGAAATAATTAAGTATTGTTCCACAAGAATGTCTATAGAAAATCAAAAATTTATCAAAAGAGAACCGATATGATCCAATCAACTTCTTTGCATGCATATAATTATAATTAAATGCCCTTTGTATCAAATTTTCTTAGAATTTAATAGTTATATGTTGAAAAGAAAAATTTTGACAAATAAATGTTAGTTTGTTTTCCGCAAAAATAATTGTGCTGTTTCACCAAATAATTTGAATTGTTTTAAGAAATTTGAAATGAAGATGAATACATATTTTGTAATTATAAAATTTTGAGTAATAAGACATATTTTTAAGTAATAAGAAATGTTGATGAAAATACTTTTTTTTATTATACAGATTTCAATGTATTATTTAGAATTCAATTCTTCTTAAAGTATTTTTTTTTTAATTGATTTAGAGAAGATGAAGAATTCTGACATAATATAACATCATGCATATAATTTTGTATTAATTCAAATAAGATTTGTTTTATTCCTTTCAATGATTTTCTAAGATAAAAAATGCTGAATTTGGTTACGAAATATTTTCTATTGGAAGCGTTTATGTAATTATAAAGACAACTACTATTATTTGTTTAGAATGAACATAAGTTGTATTACCTCATAACATATGAGTTAAAACTCATATGCATACCTAAAAAATGGAAGAGCAATGAAAGTTGTTGACTACTTAAATCATCTCTAATGCCAAAGATAAACTCTGATCACCACGCTAGGGAAGCTTTTTCTTTTTCTGCTGCTACAAACAAGTTTTGGCGATCCCTTCTTTAGTTTGGACTTTATGAATGAGTTCTGCAACGTATTTCAGATATTTAATGAGAAGTTTCACAATTTAAAGTATAATAATGATTGAGAATACAAAGTGTTGCCTCAAGATTTTAATTTCTAAAATGGAATACCAAGCATTCATCTAATAATGCTAGATTGATGATCATATTTGACATGAGTATTAATTACACATAATTAATTAATGCAAGTTACCAAATGTATAATAATAATTGAGAATACAAAGGGTTACACTTATTTATTAATTAACATTTAAAATAATAAATATTTCAACAATTTCATGCATTTCATGCAATTAAAAATATTTGGCTTTTCAACAATTAGCTCTTATATTAATACAATTAAAATTTAAAACATCATGCATTTAATTAAATAAGTTTAAAAATAAATTAAATGTACAAATAAAATGAGAATAAATGCAATTAAAATCTTTGGCATTCCAACAATTAGTTCTTACTTAAATGCAATTAAAACGTCATGCAGTTATTAATTAAATGAAACGGATGAAAACTCAAGCATTTAGAAGAATTAAAATCAATTTTGATGAGGTGTATTTAAGGGGCATTAAATTACTTAAGTATTATTTTTAAAATTTATTAATGATTTATAATACAATGAAGGGACAAGATAAGTTAAAAAAATAAAATGAATGGTCAAGATTTACTATGGGTGGAAACTTAAGCCCCTTTTATAATAGCAGTATAGATATAGATATAAATATAGATTGGGCCCATACTTAAAATTAATGCTATAAATAATTCTATGATGAGAATTTATTAATGAAAATGAATAAAATTTCATTTATAAAAAATATGTGAAATTCTGAACATTTAGGCATGAATAAAATTTTGTTGATATGAATATGAAAGATTAAAATGAAAGATGAAGCAAAATGGGTTCAATATAAAAAATGAATGGTTAAATTTTTATATTGGGAAAACTAAAATAACTTTTATAATAAAATTGTAGAGAAGATGAAGAATTCTGACATAATATAACATCATGCATATAATTTTGCATTAATTCAAATAAGATTTGTTTTCTTCTTTTCAATGATTTTCTAAGATAAAAAATGCTGAATTTGATTACGAAATATTTTCTATTGGAAGCGTTTGTATAATAATAAAGACAACTATTACTTGTTTAGAATGAACATAAGTTGTATTACCTCATAACATATGAGTTAAAACTCATATGCATATCTGAAAAATGGAAGAGCAATAAAAGTTGTTGACTACTTAACTCATCTCTAATGCCAAAGATAAACTCTGATCATCACGCTAGGGAAGCTTTTTCTTTTTCCGCTGCTACAAACAAGTTATGACAATCCCTTCTTCAGTTTGGACTTTATGAATGAGTTCTGCAACGTATTTCAGATATTTAATGTGAGAAGTTTCACAATTTAAAGTATAATAATGATTGAGAATACAAAGTGTTGCCTCGAGATTTTAATTTCTAAAATGGAAGACCAAGCATTCATCTAATAATGCTAGATGGATGGTCATATTTGACATGAGTATTAATTACTCATAATTAATTAATGTGAGTTATCAAATATATAATAATAACTGAGAATCCAAAGGGGTACACTTATTTATTAATTAACATTTAAAATAATAAATATTTCAACAATTTCATGCATTTCATGCAATTAAAATATTTGTCTTTTCAACAATTAGCTCTTATATAAATGCAATTAAAATTTAAAACGGCATGCATTTAATTAAATAAGTTTAAAAATAAATTAAATGTACAAATAAAATAAGAATAAATGCAATTAAAATTTTTGGCATTCCAACAATTAGTTCTTACTTAAATGCAATTAAAACATCATGCAGTTATTAATTAAATGAAACGGATGAAAACTCAAGCATTTAGAAGAATTAAAATCAATTTTGATGAGGTGTATTTAAGGGGCATTAAATTACTTAAGTATTATTTTTAAAATTTATTAATGATTTATAATACAATGAAGGGACAAGATAAGTTAAAAAAATAAAATGAATGGTCAAGATTTACTATGGGTGGAAACTTAAGCCCCTTTTATAATAGCAGTATAGATATAGATATAAATATAGATTGGGCCCATACTTAAAATTAATGCTATGAATAATTCTATGATGAGAATTTATTAATGAAAATGAATAAAATTTCATTTATAAAAAATATGTGAAATTCTGAACATTTAGGCATGAATAAAATTTTGTTGATATGAATATGAAAGATTAAAATGAAAGATGAAGTAAAATGGGTTCAATATAAAAAATGAATGGTTAAATTTTTATATTGGGAAAACTAAAACAACTTTTATAATAAAATTACACGTGAATAAAAAATAAAAATAAAAAATAAAAAGATAAATTATAAAAATATTAAAGTATAATTATCTCAAAATTTTTAAATAAAAAGCATCATAATATAGGTAGAGAGGAAGATGACTCTGTGAATCAGTGTGTGAGAGATCACTGACATTAGCTAGTAATGAGCGCCCCCTCGGCTTCTCCTAAAATTTGGTGAGGCAGTGCCCGAGCCAGCGAGGAATAGAAGAAATGTGTGACCCCATTGAAAGCAAGAATTGGAAGCGTTGGTGAAGTAAATCTTTTTTTTATTATTATTAAAAAATAAACCAATCCTAATAACTAAGTGCTCTCGAAGCAACAGTGTGTTTCATCAAATAGTTTAAAAAG